GGCCGCTCCCGGCCACCGCAGCCTCGACCTGCTGGGCTCCGGCGATCCTTCCGCCTCAGCTTTCCAAGTAGCTGGAACTACAGGCACGCACTACCTCGCCTGGCTAATTTTTTGGATTTATTGTAGAGGTGAGGTCTCACCAAGTTGCCCAGGCGGGTCCCGAACCCGCGGGCTCAGGCAATCCACTCACCTCATCCTCCCAAGGCGCGGGATTACAGGCTGAGCCACCGAGCCCAGCTAATAAGTTTATTTTTATGTAAAAAAGGTATACATGCTTGTAAATGCATTAAAATTAACCAAGCCCTAATACCTTACAGGACTAACAAGAAAGAAAAATCGCAAACCAATTTTTGTCATGAGCACGGGTGTAAAAGCCAAGCAAAATATATTAGTAAACTGAATCCAGCACCATATAAAAAGGACAATACATTATGACTGGGTAGGTTTTATACCAGGAGTGCAAGATTAGTTTAACATTAAAGAATCTAGTTGATGTAACAAACCACATTAACAAAATAAAAGAGAAAAATCAAAATCATCTCAACAGATGCAGAAAAAGTATTTGACAAAATTCAGCACACATTCACAATACTCTTGGCAAAGAAGGAATAAAAGGGAACTTTGATCTCTGAAAAAACCTACAGTAAAAATAATTTAATTGTGAAAAACTAGATGCGATTCCCTGAAGTTAGGGATAAGACACACCTAACAGTTCATGTCACTTCTATTCAATATTAGGTTGAAGGTCCCAGCTAGTACAAGGCAAGAAGAAATAAAAGGCAAAGGTTAGAAAGAATGAAGTATAACTGTCTTTATTCACACATGACACGAATCCCAAGGTAATTACAAGAAAATTTTAAAAATTAACAACTACTGAACTAGTAAGTGAATTTTGCAAGATTACAGGCTACAAAGTCAATATACAGAAATAAAATGCATTTCTATATACTAGCAATAAACTTAAAAATGAAATAAAATACCATTACAATAGCATAGCCACAAAATACTTAGAAATACATTTAACAAAAGGTGTACAAGACTTCTTCAATAAAACTATAAAACATTGTTGAGATAGATTTTAAAAGACCCCCAAAAGTGGAGAAATATACCATGTACATGGGTTGGAAGATTCAGTAGGTCAATTCTTCATAAACTGACTTATAAATTCAATGTAATCCTAATCACAATCCCAGCAGGCTTTTCTTAAAGGAAAGTTGACAGGCTTAATACAAAATTTATAAAGAAAAATTTGATAGTCAAAACTATCAGCTGGGCTCGGTGGCTCAGCCTTGTAATCCCAGCACTTTGGGAGGCCAAGGCGAGTGGATTACCTGAGCCCACGGGTTCAAGACCCACCTGGGCAACTTGGCGAGACCTAGTCTCTACAATAAATCAAAAATTAGCCAGGCATGGTAGCATGCACCTGTAGTTCTGGCTACTTGGAAGGCTGAGGCAGAAGGATCGCTGGAGCCCCAGCAGGTCAAGGCTGCGGTGGCCAGGAACGTGCCACTGCACTCCAGTCTGGGCAACAGAGTGAGACTCCAACTCAAAAAAAAAAAATCTTGAAAAAAATTGCAGAACTTACAATACTTAATTTCAAGACACTATAAAACCAAAATAATCAAGACACTGAGTTATTGGTAGAAGAATAAACACATAGATCAATGATGTAAATAGATCATCCAGAGCCACAGATATCTGGTCACTTGATTTTAACAAAGGGACCAATGTAATTCAAAGGGTAGGCAAAGATTTCTTAGTGCACCTACCATAAAAGAAAAAAATTGATAAACTGTACTTCATCAAAATCAAAAACTTGTTCTTTGAAAGTCCTCATTAAGAAAATGAAAAGGCAAGCCAAAGGCTAGGAAGAAAATAGTCACAATACGTGTATCTGAAAAAGAACTTGTATCCAGAACAATTCTTACAACTCAATAATAAGACAACCAACCCAGTTTTTTAAATGGGCAAAAATATTTGTACAGATACATCACGAAAGAAAATATGTGAATGGCCAATAAGAACATGAGAAGAAGCTCAACATCTTTAGTCATCAGAAAAATGCAAATTAAACACAAACTGATACACACCCAATAGAATGGCTAAAATTAAAAAGACTGACAATACCAAGTTTTGGCAAGAATACTGTGCAAGTAGAATTCTAATAAATTGCTGGTGGGAGTGTAAACTGGTACAATCACTTTGGAAAGTGATTTGGTGACCTCATGAAGTTAAACATCTAGTTAGCATACAACCAAAAATTCTACTAGGCATTTGCCCAAGAGAAGAGAAAACACATGTTCACAAACAGACTTGTAAATGAAAACTTACAGCAGCTTTATTCATAATAGTCCCCAAATGGAAACAATTCAAATGTTTCCCAACAGGTGACTAGATTAGCAAATTGTAACATAGTCATACAACAGAATACTACTAGGCAATAAAAAGGCACAATCTACAGATATATGCAACAACATGGATGAATTTCCAAAAAAGTCAGATACAAATGAGCATAAACTATTTAATTCCATTTATATGAAGTAAAAGAATAGGCAAAAATAATTTATAGATCAGATTATCTCTGGTAGGATTGACAGAAAGCAGGCAGGAGAGACATTTCTGGAATGATGGAAATGTTATTTATAATGACTGGATTGGTGTTTTACATGGAGTATACATTTATTAAATGCATCAAACCATATACTTACAATTGGTGCATTTTACAGCATGCAAATTATGCCTAATAAAAAAGAATATTGGGAAAAAATAATTGAAAGGACATTCCAATTGACAGCATTTGTTCTGGAGAGAAGGGGAAGAAGGATTGGAAATACTGTTTTTGAAAGAGACTTTTATTGTACATACTTTATATTGTCAGGATTTTATACCAGATACATGTTATTTTTTTAAAAATAGATTTTAAAAGAAAAAAGCCATTGAGTAAAACAAATAAACAGAGCTGTGGATCTGAGGTTGGATGCAAAAACAGGACAGTCTGTATAGCAAAAGACATAAGATATTCAAAGCAGAGGAGGTCTTATACTTACAAGGCAGAAATAATGCACGCTGAGATTGTCTTTCTGAAGAAATTCCCCTAATTTTTCGGGATCCCCAGGCTCTCGAAGGCATAGCAGGCAAACTGGAAGAGGGAACATTGAGAATTATAGAGAACCATTTCTCTAAGTACAGGAAGGTAGAGTACTGGGAAGAGGGCCGTTTTGGCAAAAAGGAAAACTGGGATTCAGTATCAGGCTGTTATATAATTTTGACCACATTGAAGGAGTTGGCTGCAACTGCCCACTTCATAAACAGCACACACACACACACATTTTTTCCCTCTAAAGTGATTTTAACCAACTTGTTTCTTGAACTTTGAATATGAAATTTTAAAATTACAGACAGGGTCTTACGGAATCTGGGAAGGAAGCAGGGTTGACAGTGAGGGAAGCAAGTTTACTGCCACACACAGGCTGAGCTTAGAGGCAGTGGCAGAACATAACCTTCAGTCTTTCTTACCAGGCCCTGAAGATGGCTTCCTCTGGGTTATCCTCCTAGTCTTGGCAGATTTTCTATACAACAGAAATAAGCATAAGGTGTTCTTTGAGGACTCTGTTGGTAACCCTTATAAATTTCCCTTAAAATGCCATTCATGGATCTAAAAGTATCTAAAGGCTAAGACCTCAATGTCTTTTCATATTTCATATTTTTGAAAGCACAAAACATAGTTATTTAATTGTAACCATCTTTTCTTCCCAGCGCTTGTACTGCCTTTGTTGACTTCATGCATGCAAGAATAAATCCTCTTTTACTTTTTTACTGTTTTTCTGAATCTCGAATGGTACCACCTTTACAAAGCACACTAAAATGATATCAAAATTGAATGAGTATTTCACATTGCTAGGCACTATTCTTGGTCCTTTGCATGTATTAGCTCAAGAAATCTACAATAGCTCAATGAATATAAAGAACACGCTGGGTACTTTTATTGTGCACATTTTTCAGATAAGGAAACTGAGGCATAAAGAGATGAAGTGACTTGTCCTCCATCACATCATTAGCAAGTGGCAGAGTTGGGATATGAATCTAGGCAGTAAGTTTCTAGAGCCAGCACTTTGCTAACAGGAACAGTCCTGCGAATACAAGTAGGGCAGCTTCCAGAAGACCACTGGTGTCTGCTTCTACACTGTATAACCTCAGCCCCTGAGAACATGCCACAGGAAGCAAAAGGTGCAGAATATACCACAGGTCACTGGATAACTTCTCTCATACTCCCTTATATCACCTATTTTACCTCAATCTTTGGTGTTCCTTCTTCTTTTCTTTTAAAGTCTTCATTCGCTGCTCTTTCTCCTATCTAGAATTCTATACTATTATGAAGACAACACAGGTTCTTCCAGCTATAAATAAAGAGGGCTTGGTCAGCAAATTAATTCTACATTTGGTTGTCAAGTTCCCCTGGGTCAGCAAAACCATGCACTCTACCTTTCAACCCATGTGATAGAATAATAGGGATGCATCCAGTATCAATGCTAGTAATAGAGCCGGGCACAGTGGCTCACACCTGTAATCCCAGCACTTTGGGAGGTGGAGGCAAAAGGTTTGCATGAGTCCAGGAGTGTGAGACCAGCCTGGGCAACTTGGCAAGACCTCCTCTCTGCAAACAAATAAAACAATTAGCTGGGTGTGGTGGAGTATACCGGTAGTTCCAGCTACTTGGAAGGCTGAGGTGGAAGAATTGCCCAGGTCAAGGCTGCAGTGGCTATAATCATGCCACTGCACTCCAGCCTGAATGACAGAGTGAGACTCTGACAAAAAAATAAAATAAAATGCTAGTAATGTTAATAACTGTTCTAGGCAGGCAATTTACATGTGTTAACTCATTAAAAACTCCACGAGTAGGTACCATTATTATCCCCCCCGCTTTTTTTTTTGAGTTGGAGTCTCACTCCGTTGCCCAGTCTGGAGTGCAGTAGCATGCTCACGGCCACCCCAGCATCAACCTGCTGGGCTCCGGCGATCCTTCCGCCTCAGCCTTCCAAGTAGCTGGAACTATAGGTGTGCACTACCACGCCCGGCTAGTTTTTGATTTATTGTAGAGACAAGGTCTCACCAAGTTGCCTGGACTGGTCTTGAACTCGCAGGCTCAGGCAATCCACTCACCTCAGCCTCCCAAAGTGCTGGGATTATAGGCTGAGCCACCAAGCCCGGCCTATCCCCATTTTTAAGAGGAGGAGACTGAGACAGAGAGAGATAAGTATCTTGGCCAAGGTCAGAGTTAGTAAGTGATATAGGTTGGGATCTGAACTCAAGTAGCTGGCTCCAGAGGCCAACATTAACTCCCATTGCTACACTGCTATCACAGAGTAGTATGATAACTTGGAACCATTACCTGACCTAGCTAAGTGGTTCTTAGTGTCTACTAAATGCACGAGGTAGCATTTAGAAAAAAGGCTCCCAGCTGGGGTTGAATCTCTGTCTGGGCGACAGAGTGAGACTCCAACTCAAAAAAAAAAAAAAGAAAGAAAGAAAGAAAGAAAAAAGGCTCCCTTTGCACTCAAGTATGGGTGTTTAATTCTACCCAGCAAAAGCTAGACAAAGTGGTTTTTTCCTAGGAAAAAGAACTGGTGAGATTTTAGCTGCCTAAAAGCAAGAACTCCCTTTAGTGAGAGACATGAGATAAAACCAACAAATCCCCACTTAGCTCCTATCACTTCTTTCCACCAAGGCTCAGATGGCCACTGAGATTTGGCCTGTCCCCAACCTTTGTCTAGATCCAAGCCAAGTACAATACCCAGAATTGGAGAAGGCACCTTGCCACCAGTGTCAGCAGACTACAGATTTACAATATTCACTGGCTAAAGGGGAGATCCCTGAAAGTGAAGGAGAACAAAGGAAAGTCCCCTATGAAGGGAGGGGAGAAGGCCAGCATTTCTTAGGAGAGCTGGGTGAATTAGGTCACTCCAGAGACAAACACTTCAGTACCCGGCCTCGGATCATGGCTAGAGATCAAGGGCATCTTCAGAGACTTTCACTACTGTGCATTAATATCACGACTAAGGCAACTAGCAGCTCAGAAAACCAAAGCCTTTGCCCTCCCTCTCTTTGTGCTTGCTGCATCTCCTCTTCTAACCCATGAGTTGCAGTTGCAGAAGTAATGACATTGACAGCTTCTTCCTGCACAAAAACACATGCACAGGCTAGAAGAGTAGAGAGGGGGCGTGCTCCCGCCGTTCCCTCGTGGGATACAATTCAGTGGACAACTGTGCAGTTCCCAGTTCCGGGACTACCCCGACCAGCTAGCGGTAGAAAGAAAACCTTGAAACTTCAGTTCTTTGCATCTCTGGGCCAAGACGTTCCTTGAGTGGGTTCTGTGCACACCGGTAGTTACAGGACGCGACAGTCCTCAGAACACTGGAGGAAGGACGCTGCAGATGCCGGCTTCCTGAGCCGCTTAGCCTTGACTTCCAAACCCGGCGGATGAGCTCTTCCAGGCTGCTTCCCTGGGTACGTGCTGGGGAAAAGCTTGCTGACAAAATAAAAAATAAATAAATGTGTTCGGCCCCGCCACCGCAAGAATAAACGATGATTTCTTTGAAAAATACGTGTCAGTGTGGCCACAACCGTCCCCCGCAGGTAACAGTCCGCGAAGGGATTCAAGGAGCATCCCGCGGATGCCAGGCCAGGCTCATGTCGCGCAGCCCCGAGCGACGGGTGTGGGGCCGGGCCGGAGGTCGCCGCCGCCGCTCCCTCCTCACGGTAGCTCTTTGGCCGCCCTGCTGTCGCCAAGGGCGCCGCTGTCCCGGAGCTTTATTCGTTGACAAAGGCCGTGGTAGCTACCTCCCGGGCTGCAGCCCCGCGCGGTGACTGCGCCGGCGAAGGGGGCGAGCGCGCAAGTGGGGACGGGGTCATGCGCACTGTGATCCACTCGTAACAACGACCGTTAATAGAACTAGACCGCTAACGGACTGACGCGCACGCGCCGGGTTCCCTCCTCTCGCGCCACTGCGCCTGAAGCCGCCCCGCTCCGTCCTCTCTCCCCGCCCCCCGCGCATGCGTGTCCTGCCTGCAGTGCGTGTCGCCACCTGCAGTCCGACAGGCGTAAGACGAGCGCAGAGGCGGGGCGGGGCCGGCGCGTCTTGGTGACGTCCTACTGCCAGCGCGGGCAGGTGACGCGACGAGGCCCGTTGTCTGTGTGTGGGGCTGAGGGGCCCCGGGGGCGGTAGGAGCTCCCAGTGGGGGCGGCGGTGGGGCGGGAGGGGC